GGGGTTTAGGGTTTAGGGTCAGTTATTGGAAATGGAGACAAAAGGAAGCATTGAAAGCTTACTAGTAGCAACCCTATTATATATTAACCCTTCTTATTGTAAATCTTATCAAAGTAACTTTACCATTGTAGCAACCTGACCTCGGGGCTCGGAGATGTGCATCCCGCGGCTGGAAACTGCGACTTCCTCCCTTCAGAATGTTTGAATATAATATATAAATTGTGTAAGTGTAATGTAATGTAATCTAGTCTAGTATAGTGTAGTATCAGCCAAGAAACTCCTTTCGGAAACCCCTTGCTCGCGGGTCCATCATCCGATCATGTCTTGTACTCTGGGAGTTCGAACCTTTCTTGCAAATGTGAGCGGGAGCATAGCTGGTGGCTGGAACCTCTGCGAATATGTGGGCAGCCGGAGAGCTTACACTCGCACGGAAAGCTCCTGTAGTCTTGTAGGCCATCCGTGGTTGACATACCTTGGGCAGGTGCAGGAATGCCTGGAGAGACCAAGCGATTCTTGGCTAAAGCTCACTGGATGTGTTTGGATTATTCAAAAGAGCTGCGTGCTCTGCATTGGCAATGGTTTTTTGAGCTTCTTTGAGCAGTTCCAGAGAGCGCTTTCGATTGCGATAATAATGCAGTTGGAGTGTTTCCCCCGGTTTCGCCCCAAGATCCTGAACCAAAACGCCCTCGGTTCAAGAGTCAAAATGCCTTGGCCTGGAGCCTCCCCGACATCGGGCCACTTAGGAGCTGGAGCAGGTTTCCATCTACTGCACCTTCCTTGAGCCAGAGTCCCGGTTGCCGCGGGTATCCACGGGCACTCGAGTGTGACGAGACTGAGTGATTTCGGATCGTGATCATAAACATGTGCCTCCTTGCTGTATCGCTGCTGTCGTGCTCACATGTCTTTGCTCATTTACTGCACGTGCTTCCTTGCTTGCTTGCTTGTCACTGACTTAACTCCATGACCAAATTCTTACGCACTTGCTTGCTTGCTTGCTTGCTTGCTTGCTTGCTTGCTTACCATGCTGCCCCTGACACAAGTGTTCACTTGCTTGCCCGTGCGCTTGCTTGCTCATTTGCTTGCATTGATTTAGTATTTTCGTTTGAATTTACATCGCCGACATTCGTCCTGCTATTTTTACTTCCTGGTTGCATAGGTCGTATGTACATACGGACATACCTACTTGCTCACATACTTACTACCTCCTTCCGTACTGGCTTCCCTACATGCAATGATATGCAATATCATACATAAGCACACAAACACACCCACATGCATCACTCCTTCTATCCATCTATCCAACATGCGTACTGTAGCAAGCAAGTATAGTGCCTCGCGATCTTCTGGGTCAGTGCCAGTCCGGTGCCAGTGCGATGAATGAACCGATTCCCCAAAGTGGCCGGGACCGGCCATCTCAGGATTTACCGGGAGAGGATGCGAGACTTACTCCATCCCTCGAACCAGAGCCGGAGCCTCAGCCCAGGCGCTCAAAAGTGAGTTGTGCAAAGTACTACTGCCTGCATTTGCATCAAGGCTGCATTCAGGATGCTGGGATGCTAGTTCATGGCTGAACGTTTCTGGCCTGTGCCACGCCTTTGTTTGAGGTCTACGGATCAAGGAAATACCCCAGAGGGGCTTGATCGTAGATGGCTTGACACAGGACCACGGTTGTGCGGGCTGGGGTGTGTCGCCGTAGAGTTAGTTAGGATTACAACATGGTGGTTGGACCACTTCCTCGACAACGTAGGTCTGCGCTTGGAACTTTGCGGCCTAGTCGTGAGTGCATGTTATGCCCAAGGGCGGATGGTGTGAGTGAGTCGCTCTCTTTGATGGTCTCGCGCTTGTGCGACGGTGAGAGTCCGAGTCTCCTGGGAATAGTGTATGATGCGCATCATTGCGTATCATATTGCCATCTCCGAGCCATGCCCAGCCAAGCTAGCAGATCTCCCATCATTAACACCTCGGCCTGACAGGACGAAATCAGCAGCACCAAGGATGTTTTCAAAGCGCTAAATGCAGGCAATGCATGGCGCTCTGTCGTGACGAGCTCAGATATCATTACATCTCTGTGCAACTCACCCTTGTGCTCACCGTGTAGTCGCCTGGCTTCCTTTTTGCTGCAACGCTATTGGTTGCATTTGAAGAAGCATGTCTGCTTTGGCCAGGTCCTTTTTGTGCAAGCTTAATGTAATATAACTACTAAATATAGTATAATATAGTATAATGTAATGTAATATAATTTATCTTGCCGCACATCTTCTGAACTGAGCTCGATCTCTGAAGGCAGCTACAAGGCAGAACCAGTACTCTTCGAGGTCCCGACCTCAATTGGGGTTTAGGGTTTAGGGTTCAGAAGCATTGCGAAGCAGCACCTCTAGTCAGAGACTTTCATCACTGGATGAGGACTCAACCACTTCTCGTTCAGATGATCTGTAGCTGAGCTCAGGTCACACGCCATTTTTACCATTTACGCCGCGACCTTATGGTGAAAGCACCGGTGTTTTTCAAACAGGGGAACTTGCCTTTTCGCGAAACCTTCTTGGGCCACTCTATGCAATCATGTGTTGGACCCGAGGTTTCCCGCCGCTGCGCCTCGGGGAGCAACGTGCGGGAGGTGAGAACCAGCCTGATGTTCTCCTTTGAGCACCCTGCAGTTTTACCCTATCAAAGCCTCGAAGCCATGACGGCAGAGCATTGTATAGACCCTGGAGCACAACCGTCATTCGGACGTTTTGACGAGCCTCACCCTCCGTCTCTATATCTACATATGTAATATGTAGATGTTTATATACACACATGTGTCTCCCACACGCGTGTGTGCATACATACAAGTACACATTATGTTTGGATTCAGTTGATATACATATATACACATGAGAAAGATGTCTACGCACATTTAGAATTACATTGTCTACGCATGGCGATGCATACTTTAATACAACGGTAGATGCAATTGTAGATGCACATGTAGATGTGCATATGTATGTTTGTGCATATGTACATGTGTTTATGTACATGTTCAATATATGCATGTACTATATATATATGGAGTATGTATGTATGTATGTATGTATGTATGTATATATATATATATCTACCTATCTACCTATCTTTCTATCTATCGAAGTGGATGTAGTCCTTGCCAGGCTTCTTGAAGCTGCCGCTCCTGAGGGAA